GAAAGGGGGATAAATACTCATTGATTAAAGACCATATTGCAAGATTTATTAGTAACATGGTGTAATGGGATAGGGAAAGACCTTGGGAGACTGAGCAAAGAGAAACTGCCAAAACAGTCAGATAAGAGACAGCATAACTGGCAACAGGATAATGGGCAGTGCAAGATGTTCAGAAGGGATCCCTCCTAATTTCTCATGCTTTAAAAGATGTGTGGGGATGGGGTGGGAGGAGGATGATTGTATTTTCAGATTTGTAAAGATTCTGTCAATGTGACTTGGCAATAAAGCAGATTTAACGCATCTGGTTGTGATTCTTATCTGATTTTGATATTTTTGCAGCCCTTGGTTAATGTATACTTTGTTATAGGACACTGAGCTTGAGTTTGAAACCTATAATGTAGAATATAGATGCTAACTCTTAGTTAAGAATGGGGCTCTCATTTGAAAATATTTCTTGATCCTGCATTTTTTCCTACATAACTGAAATTGAGATTAGTGATGGGTACTGCTACGTTTTGCTCTCTTAATTCTATTATTCATCTCTAGTTGTGCTTTTAATAAAGAACATGGTATCATGCGATTTATAAAACTATATGAAAATAAATATGGTATCCTTGAGGTATCATAAGATTTTTTTTAGTATTCTTGTTAGAACAATAATTTATAGGATCCTTCAAAATTTAAGGAATATTACAGAGTTTTTAAAAACGACCATGCTCAGATAATTCATGATTTCCTCAGTAATGATTTATAAAGGCAGGACATAACATCAAGGCTAAGTAAGGCTCTGTACTCTTCTTCTATTATAATTTGAAGTTTTTTCTGACCCATCCCAGGAAAAAGATGCAGTAACTTGAAGAGTCACACACAGGTGCAGGGTTTGTGCCTTCAAGTATCCTTTTGGGAGGGGGGCTTCAGGTTTGAGCTTCTTCGGCAACAGACCGAAATTTGGGATTGTGCGCAGTTTCAATCTGTGCTCACCGCTGGAGCACCCCAGCTGGTTTTGGGGCTAAGCCACCCTGTAGAGGTGGTGAAGAGGGGGAAGACTGCCAGCAGGGTCGGGGAGAGCAGCATCTCTCCTCCCCAGCTGGCCATTACTCCCTTTCCTGAAGGCGGTTGCAGCAGTGGTCAGAAATGGCCACCTCAAAGAAGAACTCGACCGGAAAAGAATGTGTAGGAGGAAGATAAAAAAAGAAAGTTTTTGGCTGACTGGGTTGAACTGGAAAAACAACAATACAAGGTACCCTGGAATTTGAATTATAAAGAACAACATTGTTCCCAAAGAAGACTTTGAAGCTGCGAATGAGAGAGGGAAGGGAAAGGATTTGGTTTTTTTTCTTTTCTTCCCTATATTGACAACTAAGAGATTTAAGCAAGAAATCGGCAAAAATCCCCTTTGACATTAACAGGTACTTAAGTTGAAAATAAAATGTCAAAGCAATAATAAAGATTTCTGGATTCTCAAAAACTTTTAAAAGAAGGAAAAAATCAAAAGAGTGGGATCTGGAAAAAGGGAGGAGACCACCTTGAAGTGAAAGGACTTAACAGTGAAACTTTAACAAGATTCCTAAAAGATACATTTTAACGGAAACTTTGTAACAAGATAAGAGAACCCCAGGAAAAGAAAGTGGAAAAAAGAAGCAAGAAGAAACAGCTTTGGATTATTTGGATTACTTGGTGATTCTTGGATTTTTGGCTATTGGATCTAAAGGTCTAAAATTAATCGGGTGGTTGTTTAAAAGTTTTTAAAATGGTATCACTCTTGGAAGACTTGAGAATGGAACTTAAAAAACAGAAAGAAGATGCACAAGAAGGAAGAGGTTCTTTTGGCTTCGTATTTCAGTTTTTAGAAATGGAGATCCTGAACTATGAGAAACAACAAGAAATGCCTGTAGAACAAGAAGGCCGGGATAGAAGCCATCTTCAATGACCAAGTATTTCTATGTGGGGAAAAGAAAGGAAAGGGAGGAAAGAGAGTGAAAAATTTAAGATTCAAAAAAACAACCCCAAAAAAGAATAGTTTGAAAAGTAATTATAGCATTAGGAAGAAACAGAAGAGAGGATTACAGAAGAGAGAATCAGAATTAGAGAGAGAAGGGGTCAAAAAGGGAAGGGAGAAGAAGAGGGAGAAGAGGGAAAGTAAAAGAAATTATAAAGGACAGAATCAGGACATAGAGAAACAGGGAAAATGTACAAGACACAGAGATAATGGGTGAAAACTTAATTGAAAGGGGGATTCTGCAAGGGTACATAATATAGTATTGTTATATTAGAAATAGAAATGAACTTTGAAAAAATGAAACAAGTGTGATTAAAATGATAGATAAAATACTCATTGTAATGTAATGTAATGTTTAATAAATAAATGAAATAAAGAGAATGAGAAGATGAAATTAGGAAAGGAGGGGAACATTTTAATTATTATAAATGTGTTATAAAAATTTAAGTGAAGAGGAACATGAAAGAAACATGAAAAAATTATGGAAATATTATAAGTGTTCCTAGAAGTATGATGTCCTATTGAAAAATAATGTTAAAGATGTTAAAGATTATAACTAACATTAATGATAGAGTTGAATTGGAATAGAATAAGTATTTTATTTATTATTGTTATACAGTATATATATTTTCTCTTTAAGAACTTAGTGCATATTTTAAGAATGTACCAAGCAGAGTTCGAATGGAAGTTATGTGTTATATTGAATGTTATAATTGTAAAGGCATAAACTGAAGTTTAAATAAGAGTTGAATGGATAAAAATTAAAAGATACAAAGGTGTCATACTCCAATTAGTAACTACAGGGGAAAATTTTGTTTAATGAGAAAAGAAAATATGGAATTGAAACAGGACAGACAAAAGTATAAATATGATGACTAGAAAGGTATTGAAACTTAGAAAAAGATATATACAATTGAATTTAGAAAGGAATGAGATAATCAAAAGTAAGATTGAGAAAACTAAGGGAAGGGAAAAATTTTTGAGAAAATGTTAAAATAGTAATAAGATATGGAATAGAACACAAAGATGAATATGAAATTGAATTTGTGTCTGTATGGAGAAGTGATAACCCGGGACCATGCTATTCTCAAAAAAAGAAATTTTACTGGTATTATGTTTTGTGAAAACCCAAATAATTTTTTTATTTAAAAAAAAGTATCCTTTTGGGAGTAGAGCCCAGACTTTTGCACAGCCATATCCGTACTCTCTATATTGGGCACTAATTAAGCATTCAGGCATCAGTTATCCTGAATTCTGTAGCTAGACCTGGTTTGTCCCATAATAAGTACTCAGATCTTAAACTTTATGACATATTGGGCAGATCTGAAAATTAATTAGAAGTATAATTTTTTTTTCCTGCAAGCTAAATAGCTGGCGTGGGGTATATAAAATCTTGATGCTACTTGATTTTAGCCCCTACCACCTTGCCTGCAATGCTCCTTAACATCCTATTTGCCTTTGTTCATTTTCTAGACAAGGGCTGACATTTCCAAACAAAGCATATATAATGTTTATAAGTTGCATTTGGACCCCAGAGGCATTCTTGGGAATAAAGGTGATGTTTGCAATTCATCAGCTCATTAATTTCTCTATTTGGAAAAAAAAAATAGCTAATTAGGGCAGGAAGTCTGGCAAGAGCTAAAGGAATTGTCTGAATACACCTGGGGGTTAAATAGTGTCCAGGCCCATTTTGCATTCCTTACCTTAACCGTGATTATTCTACAATTCAGTGGTGGGTAGCAGCTATGCCCCAATGCTTTACTGGAGGCTCATGCAACTAGTCAAAAAGAAGGGAAAAGGTATGTGAGGTTTATAGGGAGGTCCTGTAGGAAGAGTGGTTGGGTTGCACTTGGGTAGATCACTTGCTATAACATTCAGCAGAGCTATTTTGTGAGTTAGGACATTGTCGCTTGAGACTCGTTTGCCAGAGTGTCCACTACATAAATTCCACACATATTCTCCAGCTCAAAGAAACATGGACAGATGGCGTAATGTTTTAGGTAAATACGCTCAGTTGTGAAATGCAGTGTGATTTTTCTAGCAATCTGGTGTCATAAGTTACATTTCGTCCTTGGTTTGTGACTCTGGCTTGTTAGGACTGAAAGAAGGCATGGTTACTTATTTGCAAGCCACGAATTGTCGTCCAGGTTTGTTCAGCTTCTCTTGGCAAGTGCCAAGCAAGAGCGGTCAGGCAGTTTGCATCCCTGCTTGTTCATGATAAGCTAAATTTTTAAAGAATTCTCGTTTACCTTGGTGTTCAAACATTGTAACAAATAATCCTCTTTACTGCCATAGCTTTGACTGGAAGCACAATACGAATACAAATCTTTCTAAGCTTTGAATCAGGGAAAAATAAGTTGTTTCTTCTGCTGGCAGTATCTGTGACTTTAAAGTATCCGTCATCTTTTTATTATGCAGATTGCTTAAGTTTTAAATATAAAATGCATGTTATTTCTGTTAAACATCTACTGAATGCTTTCTGGTTGAATAAATAGATGCTGAAAACTTCAAGTATTGATATTTATTAAAATGTGAGTTTCCACACAGCTGAATTTTCAAGCACAGCTTACTGAATTACCTGTATGATGATAATTGATTAAAACGAATAGGAAAATGACTTGATTCCAAGAGGGGAAAATAAAATAGCAACGGTACTTAGAGGCAATAGATAGGATTATTTTGCAATGGCAAAAACATATTCTTTAAGAGTTAAAAACTGATAACTATTTCTGAATGAGCAGTCTCTGGTACTTCATAATAAATTATGCACCCTTTTATACCAGCAATCTTCTAATTGTAAATTGTGAGTCATGCCTGGCTTTGCTTCTTGCCTAATTATACAAGTAGCTTTGACAAATGACATCCTGCTTCCTACTGGCCAGCTTTAGTGACCTTGTCATTATTACTAATGGCTAGTTGTAGCTGCTTCAAGCAAAATAAGCAGCTTCAAGTTTTTAGCTGCTAAATTGTTACTTAGCCTATTCTTTGCCTTTCACTCCAGAGCACAAAAAACTGGAGAGCAGCAGTTGATCTGTGTGGACGACTTCTGACAGCCCATGGTCAAGGCTGTGGCAAAAGTGGATTACCCACCAGTCACACAACAGACTCGCTTCAGGTATGTTTGCCTGTAGGTCAGGCAAAAGTTAGAATGCATGTTAAACGTGCACATCTTAAACATGTGTGGGAATGGGCAATTGATTCCACCTTAAGGATCTACCCAGAAATGTCAGAGACACACTGGATACCTCCAGTTTCCCCCTCCCCCCAGGTATTCCCCAACCTTTCTTAAGATTATTTCAGAGGAGTGATAAATAATTCTTGCAGTTATGAATGAAAAAACAACACTGACATTTCTCATGTAAACAGTTCATTTTACTTTGGTGCTTGGGAAAAATAGATATTGCCTTTACTTGTTCTAGCATAGAAACACATAGGATGACCAGAGTGAGAAAACAATTGAATTTTTGGTTAGATTTTAAGATGAATTAACAATTAACAAATGCTTTCAAGAGTGCTGCAAACGTCTTGCAAATATTTCTTTATAAGCAATTGCAATATCTACATTAGAAATATTAAGGACCAAAAGATAGAAAAGTGTTTTGCTAGTAAACTAACCATTTGAAAGACTCAGTAATTTATTCGCATTTTGAACCTCTTATGACAGGTAGTTAAGGTGAATAATTGAGAATAGGAATGATCCATATCTGTCTTCAGATAATGTCAACATATTAATTCTGTATAGTCAGATTATGTACAGAGTACTATCCAACCATGTAAGGTAATTCATTTGCAAATGAGCTCAAAAGTAAAGAAAAAAATTCAGCTCATGAAGAAAATTTCTGGAAAAAATGAGTTTGCTGAACTCACATGCACACATGAAAAATAACCTTTAGATATACTGTATTAGTATCACAGGTATTTGTTCTTCAAAGCTGAAAAAACACCCTGATAATATATTTTTGTGTTACAGTAATAACTTTAAACTTTTTTTTCCTTTTTAGATTTGGTTTGTAAGACTAGCGCTCCTGGTGAAACTGAGTCTGTACCAAAATGCTGAAATGGAATTTGAACCATTTGGAAACCTAGACCAGCCTGATTTGTATTATGAATATTATCCTCATGTATATCCAGGACGCAAAGGTAAAACTGTTTATATGTTTGTTCCTATTAACTGTTTCTTTTGGGTCTTGTATTGTTTTCTTTTTTATCAATAGTCACAGGTTTAATAATGAATGCACTACTATAATATGAACATTACAACATGTTACTGAAAAATACCACAATATTTTTGCAATAGCAATACATGTTGCTGCATCTTTTGATTAGTAGGAAATATTGCCTTTTCTGAAATGAGAGATTACATATTTCCGACAGTCATTCCTTGAAATCTGGGAAAATATCACATTTCCAATTTTTCTTTTAGCCATCCCACATGCTCAATACAGCTACAATTCCTAATAAACAGTCAAATCCCAAAGTTTGAATATATAGTTTAATATTACATTAGCACCTTTAACATTTTCCCATAAATGTGTTTATATTACACTTATCCCTTGGTATGAGGTCTGTGCATAATAAATAATCACAAATATTTTATAATGGTTAAATAGCAATTCTGTGGTCAGCAACATATGAGCAGACTTTAATAAAAAGCGTAGCCTATGCAGAGGCAGGTATTGACTGTGGTTAAGATAAATAAACCACAGTTACGGTAATACTCAGAAGTTTTGGGAGCTTCATCACTGGAAGCTTTCAAGAAGAGACTGGACTGCCATCTATCAAAAATGGTGTAGGGTCTGCTTGGGC